AATTTAAAAACAAACGTTGACTCGCCCGTGTGCCATATGTATAAGGCTCTAGCTCAGCGGTTCTCAACCTGTGGTTCGCGACCCCTTTGGGGTAGAACGACCCTTTCACAGGGTCGCCTAAGACCATTGGAAAACACATATATAATTACATATTGTTTTTGTGATTAATCACTATGCTTTAATTATGTTCAATTTGTAACAATGAAATTGGGGATCACCACAACATGAGGAACTGTATTAAAGGGTTGTAGCATTAGGAAGGTGAGAACCACTGCTCTAGCTGGTGCCAATCACACGCGTGTGTTTTGACCTGTCAGCGATATTAAAATATTTATTCTACTTAATTCCCTTTCAATGTGCATGAATCCATGCACTGGACCACTAGTTGTAAATAATGCTGCAATGAACATAGGGGTGCATATATTCTTTTGAATAAGTGTTTTGTGTTTCTTTGGATGTGTTCCCAGAAATGAAAATGCTGGGTCATAATTCAATTGAATTTTTAATTTTTGAAGTTACTCTATACTGCTTTTTTAAAAATATATTTTATTGATTTTTTTACAGAGAGGAATAGAGAGTTAGAAACATCGATGAGAGAGAAACATCATCTGCCTCCTGCATAGCCCCCACTGGGGATGTGTCCACAAGCAAGGTACATGCCATTGACCGGAATCGAACCCCCTTCAGTCCACAGGCCAATGCTCTATCCACTGAGCAAAACCGGCCAGGGCTCTATACTGCTTTTCACAGTGGTTGCACGAATCTGCATTCCCAACAGTGCACAAGGATTCTCTTTTCTCCACATCCTTGCCAACATGTGTTGTTTGTTGATTTATTGATCATAGCCATTCTGCCAGGTGTAAAGTGATATCTCATGTGGCTTTAATTTGCATCTCTCTGATGATTAGTGATGTTGAGCATTTCTCATGTCTACTAGCCATCTGTATAACTTCTTTGGAGAAGTGTCTATTTAGATCCTTAGCCCATTTTATAATTAGATTGTTTTGTTGGTGTTAGTTTATACGTTTTTTATAAATTTTGGATATTAGCTTCTTATCAGATGTACTAGTGAGTAGGTTCTCCCACAGAATGGGTTCCTTTTTCACTTTGTTGACGGGTTCCTTTGTTGTGCGACATCTTTTTAGTTTGATGTAGTTCCATTTATCTATTTTTTCTGAGGTTGCCTTTTAAGAAAGGGGAACTATAAAGGCAAAACCTCATGAGACTGTGGCCATGTGTTATGAGTGATAAAAATATGAGATAATATGTGGTCTTTGATTGAATTAATAACTTTTGTAAGAGTCAGCTCATCTGGATTTTTCAGAAGCTTGACAGTCCAATCTCTACTTTCAAGTATTAGGTCGAGTAACAATTCCCACCGGGGGCTGTAGATCCCTGGTAAGTCTTAGATTTCTTGCAAAAATGCTGTGAATTTTTATGTCCATCATGCATTAGTTGTAGATTATATATTTAAGTACAAATGCTATTATGTGATGATTTTATTAAAGGGGTTCTCATATTTGAAAATACTGAGAATTACTCAAGCAAATGGCTCACCAAGGGAGACAGAAGTTTCTTGTTCTTCTACCCTTTGCTTCTCCACATCTTTCTCCTTTGTGCTTGAGCTAAAGATCTACAGAGAACTTCTATAGGTTTTGCTTCTGACATTTTGCTTTCTAGGGACTGAAAACACTGTGAAGTGCTGATGTGTGTGGGGAATTCACAGGACTAGAAGTCAGAAGACCTGGTTGGACTTAATTCTACCACTGGCAAGTAAAATGTTCAGGAGCAAGTCTCTGATTTCAGTATCCTGATATAAAACATGAAATTTCCAATAGTATTTGAACACTGAATCTCTCGATCATATGCTAGAATACTTGTCTTGCTTAGGGCTGGCATTAGACATATTTTTTTAAATAAAAAAAATGAACATAAACAATGGGCTGAAGTACATACTCATGCTGAAAATATACAGTAGCTTTTTCTATTTACCAGTGTTGTTAAAAAGAAACGTGAGAAGTCAATTTTTAAAAAAATTCATAGAAAAAAATCATAAACAAAATAGAAAGATACTGTACATTACCTGAGACCGTTACATGTGCTGATACTGGCAGCAGAATCATATTCATGTATAATGGATCCTTGGTAAAAACAGTGATCCTAAAATAGATGAAGAGGCTGTTGATATAAGTACATATAGAGGGTGGGGCAAAAGCAGGTTTATAGCTGAAAGTATGAGAAACATAGAGTTTATTCTTATATTGCTACTCATTAATTACTGTATTATTTTCCATAAGAACAACTGTAAGCCTATTTTGCCTCACCCTGTATTGATATATATTTCTAAATAAAATTGCTACATATAATACATTCACAATATATCAGTATTTCATCCTCACAAATTACATTTATATTCATTCATACATTTATTTAATGCATTATTTCACTTGGAAAAATTTGAAACTACTTTAGAATCTTTTTATTTTAATTGCATGATTACTTTCTGTAATATTGCTACTTTAAGCAATCCTAAAATTTCTAACCAAACTATCCCTCCTGTGTTACTATTATTTTTCCTCAGTTGAGTTGCCTCTGAAATCAAGCCTAAGTTTTTATGATCACTGAAATTAGGTCTCACTCTTCAATCAGGTTCCCTATGCCTTCCTCTCCGATCTCTCTGCTTCAAACAAGTTGGTATCTTTATCACTCCCTACTTAATGCCCTGCCCATGGTGAGTCCAACAGGTAATAACCTTCCATCATTTCTATCTGTGTGACTCCCAACCTACATGTGACACTTTCCATGTTCCTCCAGGGACCTCAGACACTTGCAGGCCAATAACCAATCCCTGCATGAAAGAATGTTCTCTGTTTTCTTCCTGTTCTATTTCACATAGATTACATAATGACCTAGATTTTATATTTGGCAGG